AGTGCAGTGGCACGATCTCGGCTCACTGCAACCTCTGCCTCCTGGGTTCAAGTGATTCTCCTGCCTCAGCCTCCCAAGTAGCTGGGATTACAGGCATGTACCACCCCGTCTGTCTAATATTTTGTATTTTTAGTAGAGATGGGGTTTCACCACGTTGGCCAGGCTGGTCTCGAACTCCTGACCTCAAGTGATCCTCCTACCTCGACCTCCCAAAGTGCTAAGGATTACAGGCGTGAGTCACCACACTTGACCTCAGGTTCTTCTCTAGTTGCAAGAGAACTGTTTCAGCATCAAGTGTCTTAGGTATTAAAGTTGTAAGTTTAGGTATTGAGTTACCTATCAGTAGCTGGAGTACCAGGGATGACAGGTACCAACGCTGTGCAAGTACCAAAGGCTGTGGCCTCAAATGCTGCAAAAGCCCAGCCCTTTATGGGCCTGTGCATACTCCGTGCAGCCACTGCTACATGAAGTCAGATGCAGGCATGGTCTTAGTGGGTCTTAGTCCTGAACCACTCACCCCTAACTCACTCTGCATACTCAATCCCGATGCTCTCCTACTTTCCCAGCTTTACGTCCAACGTCAGTATCCATTCTTGCTTTCCTGGGTAAACACTGACAGCCTTCTCCTCCTGGCTGGGCCACTCCCCTGGGTAAACCCTGGGTAAACACTAATTCCTATTTCCACCCCCACCTTTCTACTCCTGGGCCAGTTTCATGCCTTGAATAGACTCCCTGCGGCCAAGCTCCCTGGTGGCTCTTGATGATGTCACTCAAACTTACATGACAAAATTCAAACAAAAAAGATTAAGAAATTAAGTTATATTTCATCATCGCTATGTCCTTTCTTCTGATTTGCCAAATTAGGCTAAAAGACCAACAGAAAAACAGCTGCCAATTTTAAACACTTCCAAAGTCATTCCTCTAGGAAAGAGAGCAAAATTACTAACATGAATGACGGGATGAATTCTTCCTAGTCATTTTCAAACCACTTAGATAGCTAGAACCAGAGGAATCCCCCCAGGCACTTTACCCCTTAGCCATGGAGAATGATGACTTTTTTTTACTTTCAGCCAATTATATGGTAAATATAATTCTTAGTTTTATCAGAAAATCTTGTACATACAGGTGATTTCTGGTGCATAATTTTATTAAAGTCAGAGATGGTCACTTCTTCTAGAGAAACAGATCTCTGAGGTTAGAATGGAAGATAATGAAACGAGAGATTTCACTTTATAATTTACCTTTGTCAAACTATCCTGGAGCATGTCAATTCTATTATGAAAGTATTACTTCGACATTGTATAACCAGTTATCAATAGAAAACACACATGCCAAAAACCCTTAAATTCTGTAATCTTCAAGTCAATCATCAACTTTTCTTGGATTTTTGAAGACCCAAAAAGAAAAATAATTTCAAACAACAGCACTCAAACACCATATGCATTTGTAATGAGGCACAGCAACCAATTTTTCTTTTTTTTTGAGATGGAGTCTCAGTCACCCAGGGTGGAGTGCAGTGGCATGACCTTGGTTCACTGCAACCTCTACCTCCCAGGTTCAAGTGATTCTCCTGCCTCAGCCTCCCAAGTAGCTGGGACTACAGGTGCCTGCCACCACACCCAGCTGATTTTTGTATTTTTAGTAGCGACAGGGTTTCACCATGTTGCCCAGGCTGGTCTCAAACTCCTGACCTCAAGTGACCTGCTCACCTCGGCCTCCCAAAGTGCTGGGATTACAGGTGTGAGCCACTGCACCCAGCCCGGCAGTCAATTTTAAGCCTTGTATTTTCCAGGTTTTAGCTTAATAATCCTCATTAGTTTTTCAGATTTTTGTCAGTCTTGTTTTGGGGCTATTTTGCCTTACTGGGCCTAAACAGAATATTAAAATACATTAATAATCCATACTGAGAGTAGAGTATAAATGGGTTTCTCACTCCTTAGGGACACAAGTGGAAACAATACATCCCATGAACACAGATGAATGCCCCTAGTTATCCCTGAGCTGGGCAGTTTCACACAATCATTTTTTCTCTGAGGCCAAAGTCTGTGGTTTGATCATCTTAGCAGCTTCCAGAACAGAAAGTAAGTTTACTTTGTCTCCAAATTCTTTCTCTCGGTGCTCAAGAAGAATGCCCTAAAAGGAAACAAGAGGTAATGTCAGTCCTCATCCTAAATCGTTCGTTCAGGAGACAGGCATCAAGGACCAGCTGTCTGTCAAGCCTTTTGCTTGAACAGCAAAGGACACAGATCCAAATATGGCCTGGCTCCTGCCCTCAAGGAGTTCAGTCTTTGAGGGAAGATAGACTGGGGAAGGCCACATCTATCTGGCCTGTACCAGCAGCTCCCAAGAAGCAGGAAGTCAGAAGTGATAAAGCACAACAAGGACAAGCAGGGAAGGCCTCACAGATGATAAAGCATGGAGGGTAACCAGGATGTTTACAGGTAGAGAAGCAGGTAAAAGAACATACCAGGTGAAGAGAAAAAAAAAATGAAGCTAACACAGAAAGGCCCAAAGATGTGGAAGTGGAGCTCAGAGGTTAGACTTCAGAAGGCACTGAACGACCATCTAAAAGAGAGATCCTCTTTTTCCTTTAGTCTCCTAAGAAACTGGAAGCCACTTTCTTCTCATACAGTGAAGAAAAATGCACTAAGGCGCAGGATACCCCAAAGTTATCTAAAGTCAGAAGTGGTATAAAAAAAAAAAAAAAAAAAAAAAAAAAAAAAAAAAAAAAGACAAAATAACATGTTTGAGATCAGCATCAAGGAATCCTTGTTCGAGTTCTTTGATTCATTACATTTGGAAGCTCATCTTAAAAAGAAAATCTGTAAATACACTGTGTCATTATTTACAGAGACTTTAAAAAAAAAAAGTCCCACCACACTATGGTGATTATGGGGAAGCAGATCAGAAAATTATATTTACTTGCTCAATAAACCATGATACAGACATTAAAAACACTAATAGGCTGGGTGCAGTGGCTCACACCTGTAATCTCAGCACTTTGGGAGGCTGAGGTGGGTGGATCACTTGAGGTCAGGAATTCGAGACCAGCCTGGCCAACATGGTGAAACTCAGTCTCTACTAAAAATACAAAAATTAGCCGGGTATGGTGGCTCAAGCCTTTAGTCCCAGCTATTCAGGAGGCTGAGGCAGGATAATCCCTTGAACCTGGGAGGCTGGAGTGCAGTGAGCCAAGATCATGCCACTGCACTCCAGCCTGGGTGACAGCGAGACTCCATCTAAAAAACAAAACAAAACAAAAAAAAAACACCAACAAAAAACTAAGAATATAATAATGACATAGGAAAATGTTCACTGTTAAATGAAAAAAGAACATCTAGTTTAGTAAGGTATAATTTTCTAAAGCAAAGCAAAACAAAAGGAAAGTTCACTCAGCTTTGTTCCAATGGATTGTCCATGGTGGTTGAGCTCATAGGATGGTTTTCCCCACCTTCTAATATTCTGCTGTTTTTAAATTTTCTGTAGTGCAAATACACTTTTTATTTATTTAGAGATAGGGTCTTGCTCTGTTTCCCAGGCTGTAGTTCAGTGGTGCGATCATAGCTTACTGCAGCCTTGAACTCCTGTGCTCAAGAAATCCTCCTGCCTCAGCTTCCCAAATAGCCAGGACTACAGGTGCATGCCACCACGCCGGCTAAACTTTTTTATTCTTTATAGAGATGGGGTTTTGCTATGTTGTCCAGCTACTTCTTCTTTAAGAATGCTTTCAAGATTGTTATTAAAAAGAAAATTCAGGTCAGGTATGGTGGCTCACGCCTATAATCCCAGCACTTGGGGAGGCCGAGGCGGGTAGATCACTTGAGGTCAGGAGCTTGAGACCAGTCTGCAACATGGTGAAACCCTGTCTCTACTAAAAATACAAAAATTAGCTGGGCAAGGTGGCAGGTGCCTGTAATCCCAGCTACTCATGAGGCTGAGGCAGGAGAATTGCTTGAATCCGGGGGGTGGAGGTTGCAGTGAGCTGAGATCGTGCCATTGCACTCCAGCCTGGGCAACAAGAGTGAAACTCTGTCTCAAAAAAAAAAAAAAAAGGAAATCCCCACCACCCCAATTTTAGACTACAACACCTCTGCACCCAACAAGAACTGAGGTAAGTCCTGAAGTTCAGCTAGCCAGTTAACCTTCCACCTGGGAGAATGAAGGCCAGGGGCTCCAGGGAATACCAACAAAGTCAAACACACCTAGCAACATCAGAAACGTGCCAGTAGGGCCCATGAGCACCAGATGAGTCATCACCAGGCAAGAAAAGGCTGGCAGGCATGCCAAGCCCTGCCCTAGAGGCCATGAGAAGGCAGAGGCGGGTAGGGGAAGGAACCCCACAGTGTCCGAGTGGGAAGAGGATGGGCAATCCACTGGGGAAGTGGCCTGCCCAAGCATAAGGATATCAGGAAGTGGTCGCTAGGAAACACCTCCAAGGAGAGGCTAGGGGCCAGGCAGGACAGGGCAGGGTCTCCGGAGTTTGACAGATTTGAGTTCTTAAGTTTCATTTCCATTGTACCACTTAGCTGTGTCTTTGGCTGAGTTATTTTAAATCTCTAGGCCCACTGCTGTATATGTAGATGGGAATAAAAATGCCTAACATCCTAGATTGGTTGTGAGGAAGACACGAGATCATGTACTTAAGCACGTAGAACAAGACAGGCACTCATTGGTAACCATTATTACTAAGACATTTTGACAGATTTACCAGAAAATTAGCAAATAGGTTTATGATAAATCAGACACCATTTTATGCTTAATTCTAATACAGTCAAGTGAATCAGTTACCAAGCTGTAAAAGGAAGATGTAAGAAATAAAGCTTAGGCCAGGTGTGGTAGCTCACGCCTGTAATTCCAGCACTTTGGGAGGCCGAGGCGGGTGGATCACAAGGTCAGAAGATGGAGATCATCCTGGCTAACATGGTGAAACCCTGTCTCTACTGAAAATACAAACAAATTAGCCGGGCGTGGTGGCGGGTGCCTATAGTCCCAGCTACTTTGAAGGCTGAGGCAGGAGAATGGCGTGAACCCAGGAGGTGGAGCTTGCAGTGAACTGAGATTGCACCACTGCACTCCAGCCTGGGCGACACAGTGAGATTCCATCTCAAAAAAAAAAAAAAAAAAAAAAAAAAGAAAGCTTAAACTTGAAGGATTTCTATTCCCTTTTATTCCTCCCAAATTGGGAAGAGTATGTAATTATCAACATTAATAGTGAGATCCAACAATGCAGATAAACCCCATCTTTCTACAGAAAGAAAACACTTTCTATACGTTAATGTCATGTCCAAAATTGACAGAGACAGGCCTAGAAGTCAGGCCACCAGTTTCCAGGTCCTTCTCCCATACCCTTCCCTCATCCACTTGCTTTTTTGAGAGGGAGTCTTGCTCCGTCGCCTAGGCTGGAGTTCAGTGGTACAATCTCAGCTTACTGTAGCCTCCACCTCCTGGATTCAAGCGATTCTGCTGCCTCAGCCTCCCAAGTAGCTGGGACTATGGGCGTGTGCACCACTACACCCGGCTAATTTTTTAAGTTTTTCTTTAGTAGAGATGGGATTTTGCCATGTTGGCCAATCTGGTCTGGTCTGGAACTCCTGGCCTCAAGTGATCCGCATGCTTTGGCCTCCCAAAGTGCTGGGGTTACAGGTGTGAGCCACCGCGCCCAGCCCTCTCATCCACTTTGCCCCATTCCTGCTACACATCCTCCTGGCCTCTGCTGACACTGCCCTCCAGGGCAGGGGAGCCACTATGGCTCAAGGCTGCCTAGACCCTGACACAAACAACTGCCAACCTGGCTCTTGGGCCTACAGAGACCCCATTCCTCCTTTCCACACCTTTCCCTAGGGCTCCATGCTGCTTGTGGAGCCTTACAGTCAGGACCTGATATAACAGCCTGTTTGCAGAGGAGTCAGATACCTTTCCTAGGCCAGCCCTGACACCAAGATCCCCATAGGAAAAAGCATCATCTCCCCGCCACCTCCTTGCCACTTCCCCTAATTAGGCCTGGTTCTATTCCTTATTTTCTCCTCTTATTTCTTTTCTATCATCCATCCATGGTGGCCTGGAACACTGCAAGGGAATAAATTCAAAAACAATAAAACTATGCTTTTGTTCAAGCACAGAAAACAAAACTATAAAGTCAGCAAACCTGGGTTCAGGCCCCAGCAGTGCCACTGATGAGCTGTGCTCCTTGTGCAGCTGCTCATCCCTTCTCAGTTCTAAGTTCCTTGTCTGAAAAACGATCAAACTGTCTCATGGTGTCACTGTGATGAGTGAGTAGATTCAAGTATGAGGTACTAGCAGAGAAAGATGTGTGATAAACAACAACTGCCTTCCCTTCCCTTCTTCATGTTCCCTGGCTTGCTAGAAGGAAGGCTAGGAGACCCAAAACAGGGAAAGTCAAACCCCACTCCAGCCTCTGGTTGGGGTCTCACGCTCACAGACACAGACACCTACAGACCACAAGTAAACATCAAGAACTCACCTGCTTTCCTGATCCCACCACGAAAACTCCCCCAAGGATGAAGCCTTCTCCTTCCAGGTTTCCAGAGAAGCCTCCATTCCAGGCTCGGAAGAAGTTGTACCACACTCCCAGACGGATAAATCCCATAAACATCATCTTCCGCCTTTGTGGACCATAAAACTTTTTCTGTGGAGTGAGAAAGACAGATCCCATATGAGTACTCTACTTGCCTGCCTTCCTCAAGCAGGAAAGGCTACCGACGGAGCACTGGTACTCAGGCAAAGACTCAAAAGGCTGCTGGTTCCAGTCTTCTCTCCCACCCAACACACACACACTGCCCACATCCAGGTCCACTCTTTTTTTTTTTTTTTTTTTTTTGAGATAGAGTCTTGCTCTGTCACCCAGGCTAGAGTACAATGGTGCAATCTCAGCTGACTGCAATCTCCACCTCCTAGGTTGAAACGATTCTCTTGTCTCAGCCTCCCAAGTAGCTAGGATTACAAGGGCCCGCCACCACACCCAGCTAATTTTTGAATTTTTACCAGAGACAGGGTTTCACACATTGGCCAGGCTGGTCTTGAACTCCTGACCACAAGTGATCTGCCCACCTCGGCCTCCCAAAGAGCTGAGATTACAGGCATAAGCCACAATGCCTAGCCAATACAGGTCCATTCTCAACTGCCAAGGAAACAGAACTCTGCTGGGTCCAGTTTCTGACCTCAAGGTAGGCCCGACCTAGGGTGACACCCATAGCTTTCAATTCTGACTCTACCTTCTCACTAGCCTTCCACCTGACAGGATGGTAACAGTGCTACCTTCTGCAGAGGTGGGAGCAGAAGAGAAAGAAAGAAATGAATTAAGGGACAGGGTGTGGGGCTTTGCACTAGGCCCCCAATAGTGGAGGAACCTGTTGGAGTTTCAGCTATTTCCTACTCTCCCAGTTCACACGGCAGGAAAGGCTTAAGTAATACAGATGCTCCTCAACTTACAATGGGATTATGTCCCTGTAAACCCAACATAAGTTGAAATATCTTATATTGAAATGCATTTAATACACCTAACCTCATAGCTTAGCCTACACTACCTTAAACATGCTCAGAACACTTTCATTAATCTACAGTTGAATAAAATCATGTAACACAAGCCTATTTTATAATGAAGTGTTGAATAACTTATGTAGTTTATTGAATATTGAATGTGAAAAACAGAATGGCTCTATGGGTTCTTGAAGAAATGAAGAAACTAAAAGCTTATCACTTCTGCACCATCACAAAGCTGAAATATCGTAAGTCAAACCATCAGATGGTCAGGGACTGTCTGTAACTGAGAGGACAGCTTTAAAATGTCTGATCATGCTCTGCTCAGGGGGCTGAAAAAAGGCCTTGCAAGTTCAGGACAGCTGAAGGGAAGGCCAGCCTCCAGCTCCAGGTCAGACATACCTGGGCCACCCGACTATCACACAGCTGAGCACAATCCCTAGCACTCTGTGTCTAAAAGCCTGCCAGCACACACACCTTTTCATCCAGGAATATTTCTCCTTTGAAATAAGGCTGGAAATCCTCTACTTCGGTCCTGATGTGCTCCTTTACCACTGCATAGAGGGGGACGCCCAGCTGGTCCAACATGCTTTTCAGGGAAGACAGATCCGCAGCTTCCTGTGGAAGACACAACAGTTCAGGGACATCTGTGCCAGCTGGCTGTGGGCCTCCACATAGGGTGTCAGATTTCCTCCGCAGCCCAGGCTCCTTGTCTTCTCCAGTGGGAAGCAGAAGCAAGGCTCCTGTTATGGCTGTCCTAACCATAGCCTGGGCGCAGCCATACCCAAACACAACCTCTCCTCCTGCCCACAATGCTTCTCTCCTGCCTCATCTCCCAGCCCCTTCCCTGCACTAGACCAAACTAACACAAGGGCCCAGCCAGACACACGCTCCTCTGGCCATAACCTTCCTTCTCTCTTCAGCTCAAACCTACCCTCTGGAAAGGTATCCCTGTTCTAAAAAGATCTCCCTGGCTAGTCCACCCTGAAGTAAAGCTCTGCTTTTCTGTGCATATCCTATCTTCCCTGTTTGGTGACATTTTCTGTACTAAGTCTGCATGTTACCACTAAGTTGAATGTTGTCTCTTAAATTCCCAAATGTTTCTAATAGTTAGAAACTATGTCTTCCATTTCTTGGAACCCTCAGTGCCTAGAACATGGCTGGGTGTAAAACAGGTGCTAAATACCAGGTGGAAAGATTTGAAGGGGGACAATGGGGAGAATGCAGCTGAGCTGAGAGGCAGACACCCTCGACTCTCAGGAACTGTGAGCTAGATGAATGAGGGAAACTGCATGAGTCATGGTAAAGCTTCAACATTAAGAACTCAATTTTTTTTCACATTTGGTGTCAGAATTAAAAGAATGAGCGGCAAATCCTTTTAAATGCAATCTACTCATCTCCAATACAAATACGCTGTTGTATGGTTGCAACTACATTTAATTTTTCATTTGTTTTCTAGAGTAAGAAAAAAGACAACTAATGAGGCAGAACTGATTACATTTATCAAGAGTTTTAGTGACTGGCAAATTTTGCCCTAGAACAGAGGACTACAATGTTTGATATAATCAAAAACCACCTTTTTGTGATATGAAAGGTCTTTTTTGAGATGGAGTCTTGCTCTGTCGCCTATGCTATTCGCCCATGCTGGAGTGCAGTGGCACAATCTCAGGTCAATGCAACCTCCACCTCCTGGATTCAAGTGATTCTCACGCCTCAGCCTCCTAAGTAACTGGGATTACAGGGGCGCACCACCACACCTGGCTAATTTTCTGTATTTTTAGCAGAGATGGGGTTTTGTCATGTTGGCTAGGCTGGTCTTGAACTCCTGACCTCAAGTGATCCACCTGCCTTGGTCTCCCAAAGTGCTGGGAGTACAAGTGTGAGCCACCACACCTGGCCTTTTTTTTTTTTTTTTTTTTTTTTTTTTTTTTTTTCAGTCTTGCCCTGTTGCCTAGCTACAGTGGCACAATCATAGCTCACTGAAGCCCTGAACTCCTGGGCTCAAGCAATCCTCCTGCCTCGGCCTCCTGAGAAGCTGGGACTACAAGTGCACACCACCATGCTTGGCTAATTTTTTTTTTTTTTTTTTTTTAAAGAGAAACAGGGTCTCGCTATGTTGCCTAGGGTGGTCTCAAATTCCTGGGCTCAAGTTGATCTTCCCACCTCAGCCTTCCAAAGTGCTGGGATTATAGGCGTGAGCCACTGCACCTGGCTGAGATGAAAGGTCTTACTCACTTTTCCTGGCTCTTTACTCCTGATGTGGCACTATACAAAGGCATGACGTGGAAACTGAGTCACATACCTGCTATTTGGGCCACTCAAAATAACTCAGACTGCCATCCACCCATCTTTTTGGAAACATAAGTTTCCACTAAATGTTCTATGTGGGCACAGATCAATACAGAGGGAAACAGATTATAATTAGGGAGAGCTGTTGCTCTTGGAACCTTCTGGATTTTAATGGCCCCGAGAAATCAAGTCAAAACAGGCTTCCATGCTGTAGCTGACTTGTCAGCCATTGCTGACTTAAAAATAGAGGAAGGGGCCATAAGCCAATATACATAGGTGACCTCTAGCAGCTGGAAAAGGCAAAAGAAATGGATTCTCCCCTATAGCCTTCAGAAAGAATGCAACCAGTTTCCGCTTTGAAATTCTGACCTCTAGAGCTACAAGATAAATCTGTGCTGGTTAAAGCCATTGAGTTTGAGGTAATTTGTTACAGCAATAGGAAATTAATACATCTCCCTGATCAAGGTGGCTTTGTTACAACCTCTGTAACTGTTTCCTCCTCTGTAATGAGAATAATAAAATGAGAGTAAAACAACAAGCTGTATTTCCAAGGGCCACGGTGAGGACCCACTGAGATAGCAGGCACACAGTGCCCTGGGGGTAGGGTACTGCAGGCATCACATGCATCCAGCAGCGCAAGTGGATTCTTCACCAGCCCAATCACACAAGCATGGAGAGATCGGCAAGGCTGAAAGGTGGTGCCTCAGGGAACCAGAAGAATGACGATGACAATTTGGACAGGGCCACAGCCACTGCTTGAGATGCAAAGTTGTATCAAGAGCAGGAACACTGTCATTCCCAGTTTTCTCCCAGGGAGGGCAGTAATTTCAGAATCTGGGTCTTCTGCCACTGACAGGCTGTGTGATCACAAACAGGCCACTAACCATTCTGGTCCTCAGTTTGCCCACCTACAAAGGGACAAGGCTAGATCCAAGTATTTGCAATGTTCCTTCTGACACTAGCATTTTGTGTTTCAACAATCACAGTTCCTTCCTTCCATTGATAAGCTCCATTACATATAAATAGATGATGTTTTCCCCTCAAGGGGCCAACCTGGAGACCACCCAGTCAGTGAGCTCCAACTTTCAACAAACTCTCATGCCAAATGCACTACTGGCATGAATAAAATCCCACTGAGCTACAGATTCAATGCCAAGAGCACACAGCAAGCAGGCAGAGCTAACATGTGAGTATGTGGCTCTCAGTTGTCCACGATGGACTCTAGGAGCTCCCCAAGAAGACAGAGACAGGCAGATCTGCTCTAATAGGTGACCTTGAAGTGTTTCCTCTGACACTGCAGCTTCATCACAGGGAGGGACTGATCACACCCGAATCAGGAGGAATCGAGGCACCTCGTATGTCTGTGATGAGCATCAGAAGCATGGAATTGGACCTGGTCGCTGCCCCTGATTAAACTGGAAGATGGTCCAGGACTCAGAAGGTACAGCACAGGGTGAAAGGCTTGGGAGTACTAAGGGAAAGTCAGATGTGTTGCTAACCCCAGTAGGAGAGGGCGAGTTGTTAAAAAACAAACAAACAAACAAAAAACAGAAATAGACCACAAATCAAAAGAAATACCTAGAGCAAATAACAGAACAGACCATGTGGGTAAAAGGCTAAAGCTGGCTTACGGGCCCTCAGTTCTGGCCAGAAAACAATGGCCCCTACTTGCCAGGATCGTTCTCTGAATATATCTCATCTGCACTCACCTCTCGACAGAGGAAACAGCCTGGCCTCCGCACGGCCATAATCACAGCTCCATTTTTTTCCCATAGCTCCTTTGCTTTCAAAGTCCTTGGTTCTAAGGGAGAAAAAAAGGAAATTCGATATCTCCTCCTGGCCCAGCCCCAATCACTAAGCAGCTCATGAACCACACTAAGTCCAGCTGAGGTCAGAGACCCGGGCCTAGCAGAGGACCTGGAGAGGCATTTCACACGTGGGGAAAAACACACAGGAAACACAGACGGAATACTCACCTTCCTGAGGAAAGTTAACCAAGCTTAAGAATCCTATTATATATCCAGTAGGTCCCTCCCACCATGAAAATCTTTTTTCCAACCTGAACATTCAGAAGTGGGACGTTTCTGGAAAAATGGCCATTTTGTCTATTGCCGATGTCATCAGATATTGTATAATAATCCTTTAGAACAGAAACATGGTCCAAACTGAGTCTCAAATTTTTAACCTAAATATGGTAACTGCAATATTATTAACAGAGGAGGATAGAAGATGCCTAGGAATAAAATGCTTTGGGGTAGTAGAGTACTGTAGTTCAAGCCCAGCTCTAAGGTCCAACTAAGTCTGAATCTAGCTGTGTAACCCTAGGCAAGTTATTTTTGCTCTTTGAACCTCAGCTTCCTCATTTGTAAAATGCAAATATCTAGTAGTTCCACTTTGGGCTACAGGGCATATTGAAAGATGAATATAAAAGTGCTCACCACAATGTCTGGTAATATAGAGTTGGTGAGGGCTCAATAAATATGAGCCCTTATTATTTTAGTATTTCCCAGAGGGATCCATATTCCCGTGGATGTTATGTGGGAAAAAAAAAGTGGGGTCAGGTGGGTGAGAGGGTGAGGAGAAGAGTCTGTAATCAAATAAGTAAGATTGGGAAACCCTGGATTGAACAAAGCTTAACAGGTCTCTCTCTCTTAGCACCTTACTAAGGTGACCTACTCTAAACCTGTACAACCTCCTGCCTTCCTTTGGCAAGCTTCCTTACTTACTAAACAGATGACGATGACTTCCACCTGGGGGGCTAACACGGTGACCACGCCATCAATGAGACCTTCACCACTCCAACTCTCTTGCCACACCACTGGCATGACTGAAATCCCACCAAGCTACAGCTCTAACACTGAGAGCACACAGCAAGGAGGCAGAGCTAACACATTTGAGTGTGTGGCTCTAAGCTGTCCACAATGGACTCTTAGTGGTCCCCCAGAAGAGGGAGACAGGCAGGTTTGCTCTAACGGGCGACCGTGAAGTGATTCCTCAGACACCGCAGCTTCTTCACAGGGAGAGGCTGGCCATGCCTGAATCAGCAGCAATCCAGACACCTCGTTCTAAAAAGCATATGTCTGTGCTGAGCATCAGGAGCATGGAATTGGATAAAAGGCGTCTCTCATACTTGTTCACTCAGAACTCCTTTCAGTTTGACGATCCCACAAGCCTGGAATTCCTCAGAATACACTCTGGAAGTACTGGTTTAGTAAAAGATTGTAATTATTACTAAATATTATGAAGCAATTTATCATTATAGTTACAGAGACAACAACAGAGAATGAAAAATGCTTTTGATAAGAAAAGCTAAAATATAAAACAGCACCCAAGCCAAGCACAACTATGTAATATGTACACATGGAAAGGAATATGCCAAAACATAAATTACTGTGTTAGGGTAATAGAATTATTGCTAGTTTAAAAATTGTTATTAAATTTTTCCTAATGTTGTTATATTATCTTTTCAATTAAAAAAAGGAGAGAGTTTAGAAAGAAAACAGTAAGTAAGCCTGTATCTCAGCTCCTTGGAAAAGTACTGAGACCTGAAGGGTCACCACTTACCCTTCTCCAGTGTTTTCAGGTCTATATCCTCCAGGTACTCCAGTGCTGCTTTCTGGGGCTTGGACAGAAACACGTCTGTGTTGGCAAGCAGCAATGCCAAGGCAGCAGCCCCCAGGGCTCCTGCACCAATGGACCACATCCCCATGGTGAAGAAACTTGGGTCCTGGAGGAAAGACATTTCTGGAGATTGAGAAGAAGGAAGAAGGCGTTACTGCTCCCACAGGGTAGCTGGAATTTCATCTTCCAGGCAAGGTTCTGGCAGGACAGCCAACCAGGAGGTCAGGACAGAGGAGGGGAGCAGCAGTGTCAGAGGCGAGACTGGACAAGGGCTGCTAAGCACCTGCTGCCACCAGAACTTGGGGATGTAGCACACACATGGAGGTTCCTGCACCATGGAGCTCACCAGGGCGTCAGGAGTGATGACAGAGAAAGGACAGCTGTCTCAATTGCTTCTCTTGCTACTCTCTCTTCTCATGCCCCAGGCTGCAGCCCCCAGCTCCCGTGGAGCTGTGCCGAACTATGTCCCCTGTAGGCAGACTAATTCCTCATTCCCCTCCTCATCAATGCCTAATTCTCCCTCACAATCCAGGTGGCTCAGGATCACGTGCCTGGGTAGGGGCAGCTTTCTCGTCTGTGATCAGAGGATACTTAGAACACCAACCACACTGTTTTGTTCCCCTATCTTCTTTCCTCTTTAGTTTGAGGACCCTCCAGAAACAGGGACCATACCCTGGTCATTAAGCCCCCAGCCAGTGCCCAGCAGGGCCTCATTCATTATAGGCAGGTAGTAATTTCTCCCAATTGAGAAGAGCTTTATTTCTGCCTCATTATATAAACAAAATAGGCTTACAGTAAAAAACAAAATGAAGAGAATACATGAAACCATAGTTGATAAGAAAGCAAATACTCTCTGAAGCTACCACCTACTGATGGCCACTGTTAAACACTGCTGTTTAGTAATCTGACTTTTTTCTCCTGTGAACAGAACTACACAGATGTCTGCCAAACAAATGCAGGTGTTATACCAGAAAGAGGAGGTCCTGACAGGGCACGGTGGCTCATGCCTGTAAACCGAGAACTTTGGGAGGCCGAGGCGGGTGGATCACGAGGTCGTGAGATCAAGACCATCCTGGCCAACATAGTGAAAACCCTGTCTCTCCTAAAAATACAAAAATTAGCTGGGCATGGTGGCACATGCCTGTAATCCCAGCTATTCGGGAGGCTGAGGCAGGAGAATCGCCTGAAACCGGGAGGCAGAGGTTGCAGTGAGCTGAGATGGTGCCACTGCACTTCAGTCTGGTGACAGAGCAAGTCTCAGCCTCAAAAAAAAAAGAAAAAAGAAAAAAAAGAAAAAGAAAAGAAAAGAGGAGGTCCTATGGCATCTGCAGAGGAGGCTGGGCAAAAGACAGCTGCATAAGGTAAGGGTCTCTGCAACTGAAATGGAGCTCCAGGCAGGTTCTGTCAGAATTCAGCCTTGTTCCCGACTTCTGCCTGGGTGCCTAAGGCTCTCTCCAGCTAGGAAGACTTGTGCCTGTGGGTGGGAGCTCCTGGAAGCAGTCCACAAGGTACCCCCACCTCCAGTCTTCCTTCTCCCAACAACCACTTACAATATCTATCTTTCCACTTGGTCCTCACGCCATCCTAAGCTCTGGCATACCCTGGTGCCTTCCTCCCTAAGTACCAGCCTGCTTCCGTGTGCTTAGATCACCGGGGATAGGCCTGGGAGTGGGTAATTGTGTGGCCCACCTGACCCCAGCCCATCGAACCTCCAGCTCAAGTCTCCCTGCAGGACTTGGCCAGGAGAGGATGTCTCCAAAGGATCAAGAAAGGCCCTGGAAATCTGAATGTCACTGCCAAGGGTGGGGGCTGTGAGGGGTGCACTGCATGAGGTGGGGGTGGGAGTGAGTTGGTGGTGACTTTGGGAAGGAAAGGGTAGGCCAGACTAGCACTGAAGCCACCTGGAAATTCAGATTTAAGAAATAAAAGAGGCAGCCATAAAAAAGAACGAAATAATGTCCTTTGCAACAACATGGGTGGAGATGGAGACCATCAGGCTAAGTGAACTAACCCAGAAACAGAAAATCAAATACCACATGTTCTCATTTATAAGTGGGAGCTAATCAATAGTACACATGGATATAAAGATGGAAATAACAGACACTGGGGACTGCTGAAGAGGGGAGTGTGGGGGGCAGGGTGGGGTGAAAATTACCTATCGGGTATAAGGGTCACTATTTGGATAACGGGTACACTAGAAGCCCAGTCTCCATCACTACACAATATACCCATGTAACAAATATGCATATGTACCCCATGAATCTAAAATAATTTTTTTTTAAAAGGAATGAGAGAGAACCTTGGCTGAGAACAGTGGCTCATGCCTGTAATCCCAGCATTTTGGGAGGCTGAGGCAAGGGGGTTACTTGAGCCCAGGAGTTTGGAACAAGCTTGGACAACACGGGAGGACCTTGTCTATAAAAAATTAGCTGGGCATGGTGGCACATGCCTGTGGTCTCCACTACTTGGGAGGCTGAGGTGGGAGGATCACTTTAGCCCAGAACTCCAGCCTAGGTGACAGAGCAAGACCTTGTCTTTAAAAAAGAAAAAAAAAAAGAAGAAAAGAAGTTCCAGGTAAGGCGGGTAACCAAACAAAAACAACATCTAAGAAAGAGGAATTTGGCATCTATATACTTGGGAAGAGGAAAAAGAAGGGGAAAATCAGTGCATGTGTGTGTTGGGGAAGGGGGTGCTGTTATGGTGTGTCTGACATGAGGGACCTGTGCTAAGAAAGAAGAGTTTCTTACTACCCACTATTCAAAATGTAACCCATAAATGGCACCATCTACAAACATAGAATCTCAACCCCCACCTTCGAACTAAGGAATCTTACATTGCCTTTTAGTCGGACTGGCAGACAATTAATTCATAAGCACATTAAAGTTTGAGCAGCATTGTGTTAGAGCAAAGAATTCAGGACTTCGTGCTTGGTTGGCCATCAGCCGCCAGAATAAAGTCAAGTCACGAGGGCGGTCTGGCCTTGGAGAGCTGGGCCCTCCGCCAAGACCCTGAGAACAGAACATTACAGACATGCACACATCTCTACCCCTCTGCCTGGAATATCCTATTTCATTCTGTGCTTCACGACTCAAAGGCCTCTTTAAGAAGGCTTCCCTGATGTTCTGCCAGCTCCCTACTTTCAGCCTCCCACTTCTACCCCCAAGAGGTGTTGATTCACCCCCTCCTCAGTTCTGTGTCCAAACATCACCCACATTTCTCCTGATGTGCTTGACACACCGGTTTGGACCTGTCAGATTTCTCTCCTTTGGGGACATTCTGCAGTTTATCTCTGAATCTCTCATGCCTAGCACAGCACACATCTGGTACAAAGCAGGCTCACCACAAGTGCATGCTGAAAGGTATTCAACAGAATTGAATGATAAAGACAATGGCTTATGGACAACCAAAGTTCTTGGGACAAACAGGAAAGAACCTGACACAGGCCTGTTTCCAATTCTTTAATTTGGCAAGTTACGCATTACTGGATTATAGTTCACAGAACAATTAGGAGGAAAACCACAGCTCTTATCTCTTGCTGTAAATAAGAAATTTCCCAGAGCCTGGAACAACTTCTGTACCTTTATGCATTTCCAAAATGTTTCTGGATTTCTGACTTGTGTGTATGACTCAGGAGCACATGGAATGGTCTCTGATCACAGATTTGATGGGCATTTGTATGTCAGTATACAAAGACGAGCTTACATCCACCCCACAAATGGACTCTCTCTGACTCCTAGGACACATCGGTGCATTCAGATAGTCCAGGGCCCCTCACAGTCAGCTCCACATTCTTCCAACACACTCCTGCTGCACTCAGAGGCAAACAGCCTCCACCTTCCCACTGCCCAGTGATGGGCGTTTGGCATGTTTGCTCCCAGGCACAAGGGAATTCAACTCAACTAGACTCAACGTTTATTTCCAAACACTTATTCAGCACTGACCTGTTCAATAAATGATGATTTGGGAGGACATAAAATGATACACAATCTGCAAGAAAATATAGACCTGGCACACAAATAACAAAAAAATCAAGTGGGAAGGTGAGGCAGCTTGGGCAAGGTATGGGCATGAGGCTATGGTGGTGCAGGAATGACAGCCAGTCTGGGTAGCCACAGAAGCACCCAGAAGGAAGTGGCTTTGGAGCCGGTATAGGACACAGGAGGCAGCATGGACAGGCTACGTCGGGATGGGGCCAGCTAAGCTGGGAGACAGCAGGCTGACTGGGGCAGGTGTCAGTGCTGAAGGAGCCCTGAGAACTCAAACTTCTATGTTCCAAAGACCCCCATCTCCATGCCTCAAGTTCAAGGGCTGGGTACACGATCCAGACCGCAAAACCCCCAGAAGTGCTGTCTTCCAACCTCTCACTGTGATCCTGGAAGTGTGAGCAGAGAATCAGCCCTCTGGGGCGGTGGACCCCATCCTCAGGCACTGCAGCACCATGCTGAGAGTGTTATTAGGACCAGTGGTGAGCGTCAGGCCTCTCCATGGACTGAACGCACCCAGCGGGCCTCTAGCAGCCCAGTCTTGTGCTAGAGAGCAGCACAGAAAATTCACTTTCAGGAATACCTGGCGAGCACTCAGGCCTAGCCTCTTACCCAAGGCCCTGGGCTACAAAGCAGCTCCCATCCTGGCAAGTCTTGAAGCATGTACTACTGTGACTTGCTGCACAGTGAGCAGACCCCGAATTCTGAAATCACAATTATTCCTAGGCACAAAAAAGGACAATCAAAGGAACTTTAATTTCTAAACAGAAACGATGCATTTTCACATGGTCCTCTAAGATTGCAGAGATAGGCAGGCCAGCAATCCTTCGTACCTCTGCAGTCAGTGGTCTTAGAAGCCAGTCAGTAATGGCCTAATTTCATTCACTCAACAGTCTTGTGATGGAAAGAGTATCCTGTTTAGCAGCTAACGCTGAGGTTCAGAGTTCAGTAACTTCCCCTGTGTCACAGAGCCAGCAGGCAGCGGTACTATAACCTGGACCCAAGTCAACAGGAATCGGACTCCAAAGCTTGAAAGACTACCTTTCCTCCCCACACATTCAGAAGTGGGTTTACATCTGCTATAATTGTTGATTAACAAAGAAAAAAAGAAAGAAGTGGGTCCTGGAGATCCAGGAGTATGATTCCCTTTGTCTTAAAGAGAACTTTTTTTAATCACCTTATTTTTTCAGTCATCATGTACAGTCAAACCCTGTTTACTCTAAAGGAAATTTACCATATACCAGATGTTCCTTCTCTTTCCTCCCCCTTTCTATCCCCTATCTATTAAGGAAAGGGTCAGTTTCTCTGGAACAGAATAGTAGGGTTGTTTACAGAAGAGCCAGCCCCCACCTGACACAGCTATAGCATTCATTTCCCCACTGCTGGGCTTATCTCATCCACCCTCTCCCACAGAAGATGAAGCAGGATAAAGCCACAAACAAACAACAGCTGTGGCAGCTCAGAGTGGCAGCTCTGGTCTGAACATGGGGGCAAGAGGAGGAGACCCAGTGGGGCTCCCTAGGCTAAGCTGAGTCAATTCCTCCCCAGGTCCCATTTTTTTTTTCAACTCCATGAGGAGGTTCCTAATGATCCCCAGTGACACCCCATGAGTCTAACAAAAACAGGTCACTTTGGAGTCAGAACATTCTAGGTTCCTCACCACCATCCCCACCCCCAATTTCAGTTTCCAGCTTTGAGACCCTGTCTTTTCCCTATATAAGGCAACTCCCCTCCTCACATGGTGTCCTACCCCCAACCTCGGACACTTCAAACTTGGGAACAAGGTACTCACCATCCACAGCGTCCACACCTCTGCTTCTCCTGACAAAGAAGCATACCCAGGGGTGAGCAGGCGGGCCTGGGCAGGCAGCAAGGGGAGGGCTGGAGGCGGGACTAGGTCCCTAGGCTCAGTCACTCCACAGGCAGGACCAGGCCACCCAGAAACCCTGGGGCTCCTTCAGCTGCCAACAGCCAGTCTCCAGAAAACATCTAAGTGGAAAGCTGCCAAGGCCCCCTAGACCTTCAAAAAGTTGAGCAAAGCTTTCAGTCATTTGCAGTCATGCAGATTATAACATTTCCCAAGTGCCACCAGACTCCTTCTCTGCTATCCGGTGCAGACTAAAGAAGCAACGCACGCACAGAGCCCACATGTCACACTTGTGCAAATAAAAGATGTCCCTTTCTCTGTGGCTCCTTATGCAGCCTGTTCCCTTGCCCCATTTCTCACCCCAGGCCTGGAAAGTCAGCTGGCACCTCTGAGGTCCCTCACCTGCTGTCTATTCTTTACCTCCCTTTGCTTTCCCTTCCTTTTCTGCCACATCGGTGGCTTCCCTCAACCCACACTCCCTTCCTGGGTGACTTCTTCCAGCACTTCACCCACCACTTTGTTATTGACTTCCAAGTTCCTATTGCTGTTCTGACCCAAAGTTTCCACTCGGGGATTTTGTAGGTATCTCTGTTGTACCACATCCAAAACTAAAGTCTACTTCTCTGCTGGAGTTCCATGGCTCAGTAGATTCGGGGTGGGGGGGGCGGGGATTCACATTTTACTGTTCATTTGCCTTCACTGCCCACATCAACTCAGGAAGTTCTGTCCATCTTGTAAAATGTATCTGCTACTCATCCTCTTCTTGACCTCACTGCTGCTGTCCAAACCCAGGACCCTATAACTCTGTCCCTAGCCTATTTCAAGAACCACAGAACTGAACCTGGCTGGTTCTAGTCTGGTCCTCTACAGTTTATTTTCCATGCCGTAGTCACGGCGATCCCAGCACACCCCAACCTGATTACATCCTTGCCTTGCGTTCAGGCTCTCACTAACTCCTCAGTATGCCAGCTGATGGGGCCCTCCACAGCTTGGCTTCAGCTCACCCTTCGGGCCTCACCCCTGCCCCTGCAGCACCCTTTTCAGACCACTCCCTGTGCAAGTGTTGCTCATGTTGTTTCCTTTGCCCAGGATGCCCCCCCCACCCATGCCAACCACGTAAATGCCTACTTATTCATAAGGCCCAGCGCACATAACACTTCCTCTCCAAAGCCTTTCCTGAAAGCCCCGACAACTGACTGCTCACTCATCTCTTCTATAGCATGCATGTGTGTGCACACACACCCATAACCCTGCACAATGCACAAATGAAGATTTTGTAAATTTTATTTATTTACATGTCTGTCTCCACAAGATGGTGGCACAATGTGTTGTCGCCTTCATTTCTGCATCCCCAGCACTCAACACAGATCCTGGTAATTACCAGGCATTAAATGTTAATGAAATGATCTGAATTCTACTCTTAGAATTCCACAGTGTGGCAGACTTGGAACTTATAGCTACTCAATTCCAATTTCAGCTCAGTATGAAAGGTAATTTTGGACAGGGCTAGCTTGACATTAAAGAAAACACTCTAGCTTGGGACTTAGGTAACCTTAGGCCGGGTCCTTGCTCTACTGCTCACTAGCAGGGCGATCTGACTTAAGCTATGAAGACAACTCGGGGCCTGGATCTCATCATCTGTATAGACAGAGGAAGGAACTCAAAATTCTAAGAAGCTGTCTTAGCTCTGACATCCAAAGACTCTAAAGTACCATGGGACTGTAACTACAGGGATCTGATGTCCAGAAAGCCATGGGAAGCCCTGCCACCACTGTTCTCCTGCTGGGTGTGCACATTCACATTGCCTCCTTCCTGGGGCCTAACTCCTGACTGTTCCAGGAGCTGCCTCTGGGCAGGAACTGATAAAGTCTTAATGAAACAAAGTATCAGCACTGGGTGAGTTAATTCATGTCTGAAACAAGTAGAGACAGCATCATATTCTAAACATCAAGGGTACACCTGCCCAGCCCAGCCCCACCCAGGGAATCCTCCCTCTTCAGAATGAGCGGGCCTGAGGCAGAGACAAGGGAGAAGCAAGAAAGGGTGCTGAGGGAGACAAAAAAACTGAGAGTGCACATGCCTCCTTGCCTCAGGCCCTCAGTGAACAAGACTTGAAAGGATGCTTCATCTTCCTTCTCTGATCTCCTCTGTTCCCCTCTCCTTCCCTCAAAGCTCTCAATCAGCTTCATTTTACTGAGCAAATGAAGAAACTAAAGCTCAGAGAAGGAGCTGGCTAGTCCAAGGTCACATGGGAAGGACAGGTTGTCAGTGGCCTGCGCTGGGAGTCAGGTCTGGGTCTCCCAACTTCCAGTCCATAACTGTTTACCCTGCATTGGACACGATGAGTCCTGGGCAGCCAACCACAGGCCAGTGGCCTCTAAGGCTGGAAGAGCATGGGAGTTCGGGCTCAGGAAGTGGGGCCCTGCAGGTCTTGAAACCTGTTCACTGGCCTCAGGCAAGCTAAGAGCAAGACTGCCCCTAAACAGGGCCTGGGAAATCTGCTGCCTGGAGAGAACATCAGCCTCTCCCTAGCCCAATCTTTGGTAAGCAGCTTATAATCTGAAGCCAAATGTCTTCTTAAGGGTCTCATTGCCTAGTCTCCGCTGAGAAGTCATTCTGCACCTCTCCTCCCCAGAGTAACAAGACTCTGTCCATCCTTGTCTAGCAGACTGATGATGCAGGCACACAGAGCCTTATGAGCAACAGATGCCCTTCCACCCACCCTTGTCTTCAAACACCACAAAACTAGTCACTTGCAATGAGCTCTCACCTACCTGCCTCAGTCTCCAACTCTCAGCCCTGCTCCTTGGGGTGTGTATCTGCCTGGTTTTGGCCCAGCCCTACTCTCAAATGCCAGATTCAGAAACCTCTGAATAGATGCTGAAAGCAGCACCAGCCCTCACATTCCTCACTCTTGGGCGTATCTCAGGGTTTCCCAGTAGCTGATTATGTCCTCTTGTTTCCTCAAGCTGTAGCGGCCCCGCAAAGAGCAAGCCATTCTAATCTCACTTGCACAACCTCCTGTCTGGGCTCCATCAAGTTACATGGGTGTGGATAGGAAGGCAAGGCAATACCACAGAAGACACTGTGCTAAAAGCCAAAAATCCTGGGTTTTCTCTCTTTGAGAGTTATTTTATCTCTCTGAACCTCAGTGTCTTCTTAAAAACAAGGGCACTTTAAAGAGTTGTCATAAAGATTATATAAGAAGGGCAATTTGCAATGCGGCAATGCACTAGAGTACTGCAAAGCAGCATTATCTTTCTCTCCTTTGCAGGGCTCAGATTCACTCATGCCCCTATAAAGACAGGATATCTGAAGCAGGACAGACACAAAATACTGAACTTGGTCTGATGGAAACACTGACTTGTCTCAGCCCCTCTGGCCTGTAGGCCTGCTCCATGCTATTCCTATAGTAGCCAAAACTGCCTCCTGCACTAGCAGCGCCAGAGAAGGCAAAGGGCACTGTTCAGTTGTAATTTCCCTGTGCCAGAGGCCACTGAGCTCAGAGGTGAGGCTGGCTCCCTGCACAGCACCTCGGGATGGTTCTTACCACACAAGCCGCAGCGGAAAACTTGGAGCTTCAGCTCAACATTTCACAAAAAGGCAAGAATCCAACTGGCAGAACAGCTGCCTTCTTTTTTTTTGAGACGGAATCTCGCTCTCCCAGTCTGGAGTGCAGTGGCTTCATCTCGGCTCACTGCAAGCTCCGCCTCCAGGGTGCATGTCAATCTCCTGCCTCAGCCTCCCAAGTAGCTGGGACTACAGGTGTCTGCCACCATGCCTGGCTAATTTTTTGTATTTTTTAGTAGAGACGGGGTTTCACTGTGTTAGCCAGGATGGTCTCAATCTCCTGACCTTGTGATCTCCCTGCCTCGGCCTCCCAAAGTTCTGGGATTACAGGCATGAGCCACCGCTCCCGGCAGCCTTATTTCTTAGATAGGGATAGAGCCTGGGGCTTGAGCCCTAGAGTTCCAGTCCTATCCAAACTTTCTGAGCACCATTTAAATGATACGAGATTAGACAATCATCAGAAATGTCTTTTGTACCCTTCAGGAGTAATGCAGAAGGTCTCAACTAAACGACATGCTCTTATAAAAGAGGGGAATATAGGAAAGGTCCACACCAACAACAATATCTAACTTTAATTCTTGCAAGCTGTATAAACCTGGACAAGGAACTGTTCTGCATCAGTAAAATGGGAATGCTTCCTTAATTACCTTCTACAGAGTTGCAAGAATCAAAGGATTAAATGTATAGGAGGTGCCTTGTGAAGTACCTCACAAAAAGTGCAATAAATACGATGTATAATTCTTCTTTATTTCTAGAGCAATGATCACCCTCAAAACGTTATTTGTACCCAAAATGAAGTTTTCTGATGAATGAGTATGGTAAGGAGTTGGGGTTTGCAGCCGAAATCCCAACCCTCATTCTCTAAAGCTGGGCCCAAGCAAGAGCATTCAAGACTATTCAAGCTGACTCCTTCACAATGCTTTTCAAAACAAATCCTGATTATTTTCTTTTTAAAAAACCACCTGCCAGGTTCAAAGGAAAATACATTAAAATAAAACAAACAAAAAAGCTGAGTTCTGGGTTGCTGGGCTGTGGAGACAGCATGGTGTGGCAAGAAAAAGAGGCGCAGGAGCAGCTGTGAACCCAGGTCCGACAGTGGACTCCGGGTGCGCCTCCTTCCCACAGCCCTGGTCCGGCTGGGCCTTAATTTCCCTTCCTTTGCCTCTAACCATCTCCACCTGCGCCTTCACCTCCCGCCCCAGCAACAACCCTGGGAGCAGGTTGTATATCTACCTTTTCATTCCTAGACCTCAGCAGGGTTGTTAAGTTTACAACTGGGCGCTACCCAATTTAAAGTCAGGTGTTTGTGACTCTTGGGAAAGAGGGGGAACAGGTGCCTCTGAAACGCTGAACGACACTAGAAACCGTGCCCTCTTAAAAGACACGACCCTAAGTGGGCACAGAGACAAGGACGAGGACTGCCAGGTCCACACCTAGGGCTGGTCCAGCCGGGCCACCCCCAGGCCCACGCTCCAGGGCAGAGCCCTCTCCTCTGTTCCTTGTCCCAACAATTCACGAAGGTCGGCGTCACTCAAGGCTCGGGGGCGGGGACAGAGGGGCCCCTAGCCCGCCGCAGCAGCGCC